AAAGAAGACATTTGGAAATGGGTAACCTTGGGTTAATTAAATCCATCTGCTGTCTGACTAATGACAAGAATATTGTATCCAGGGAATCGCTTATGTTAAAAGATTTGATAATGCACAATTTTTTTTTCTAACAAAGCACTCTTAGAGCAAGCGAGGACTTGTGTAACTGGAGAGAAAACCGGTCCCAGAGAGTAGCTCACAGTATTGTAGGGCTCTGCTTCATGTGGGAATGTCCCAGAAGAAGTTAAGAACCACATTTGCTGTTCCTTGACATGCAAAATTTTAACCGGCAAGAAAAGTAAAACTTGTTTTCCTCTAGTGATATATGAAGTTGTGTTTTATGGGGCTAGTTTAGATGGCTGTGTTTCCATGCTCATGAACAGCCAGCATACAAATGTTCCTTAGGAAATAAGCTATATAGGGTGCAAAAATGAGCTGCCAGAGACACAGTGATGGCAGGTGAAGGAAAACAGACTTTTGATTCGCATTGACTGGCAATCTGATCCTATATAGATTAATGCCTCAATATACATGGAGTGACTGTTTCCAAACAGCAAGTATGACAGTTGCTTTATATTTACACTGCTCTATCACATCAAGAGGGGAAAAAAAAAAAAGACTTTGTACTGAAACTTCCATGCATTATACTTTGTATTGGTCACCTATGCTGTTTGGTGTTGTTTGATCAATGATTTTTGTAGCTGTAAGTCAGTTTTTTGTTACTAATTCACAGTTTCTGGAAAATAAAATAAAAAACATAGTTTGATTTTTATTTAATTAATTATTTGATTAATTTGCTTTTCAAATCTTTATGCACTTGTACAAAACATGGTTTGGGAGTGTGAGGGGGAAACTTGTGAGGTTTATGGAGACCTGAATGCTTTTAAAGATAGGCAACCGTAATAGCATCAGATGAGGAATAGTTTATTCCATGTTGGTCTGACAGATGGGCAAAAGAAAACTCTGAGAGATTAACATTGTTCTGCAATTTAATTTTTAAAGTATACAAAAAAGAGTGGCTTAATAGAATTGGAAATGGAGGATGGGTTTGTTTGATATACATCAGAGGAACTTGTTTAGGCTTCCTTTGTAGCCAGTCGGAAGAAGTCGCGCTAGGATGTGATTTGTCTCAGTTTAGAGCAGGCATCTAAAATAGGTCAGATGAATCGCTCTCTGAAACATCTGGTTTTCTTCTCTGGGTTTAAAGTGAGGATCTCAGATGTGGACATCTGAAATTTGATTAGGTGAATATCTTTCTCACTGCCACATTTTAAAAGACATGAGTTAATTATTGCTTTTTGTAGATGCTGAAGACAATTTGTTAAACAATAGATTTTAAAAGGTATTTTTGATATAACTCTTACAGTTTGAGTGTAGAAATTTATGATGTATTCCTAAACAAGTGTGTCACATGTTACTACTTTGAAAATGTGGCCAGAAGCATAAATCTGCCATACCTGCTTTCTAGTTCTGCTTCTCTCTCATGCTGTTTTGGCATGCAGGAGGTAAGAAAGTACAGCCCCATCCTCACACACAGTGCAAAAACTGAGCACAGGCTGAATTCTGAGTGCTTGCTTGCTGTACAGAGACTTATATTCACTGGAGAACTTAGCCTTGAAAGTGTAGAACACATAAATGAGTTTGAAAATAGTAATTGGCCTCATTTAAAACATTTTCTGTCAAGCAATGTAGCTTTTTAAACATCTAAGTAAAAAAAAAAAAAAAAAAAAAAAGCACCCATACTTTTTTTGTGATCTTTAATAAACCTGTTTCTACTAGTAAACATTGTAGTGTATGTTAAGAGTTGATAGTGACTTCCAAGCAGATGAATTAGCAGATGTATATTCCGTGGAATTGCTTATAATTACACAGTAGCTATGGTTACCAGGTCAAAGAAATCATGGCCTGATCATGAACAGAAATAGATTGCAGAAGACTGGTTTGGTTTTGAGTTGCTTAAAAGCAGAATGGTTGAGGATAAGACCGTGAGGACTAAGAGCATATTAGTAGCAAACGTAAGAGCAGACTATATTTGCTGAACTGACATGGAGTCTGCTATATCAAATTCTTGTTTTGATATAAAATCACAGTATTTTTTAAAGTTGGGGTTCGCGTCTATATAGTTGGGGAGTTGGGTGCCAACCACACATTTGTAATGAAACTATTAAATTGAAATAGTTAAGATTTTGAATTAATGTTACTATTTTTTTCATTTTGTTTTAGTACTGGACAAAGTACACATTCAAGGAAAGTCATATTCACTTTACTTTAAATCTAACACTTAGAATGATTTAATGGAAGTATTTATCTTTTCTCTTGGGTGCTCCAGCGGTTAGAAAGCAATGACAGCAGTCTGGGTGAATTCAAGCAGGAAGGACAACACTGTGCTTAAGGAATGTTGTATGTTTGTACTGATGCTGGTCAGCCCCCTTCAGATTTGTCTAGCTTGGGTGTTGCCTGGAAGCATTCAGTCCATCTCCAAAAGGGAGGGCAGGTGTTGAGGAGTTCAAGTCCTGTTGACTTCAGTGTAATAAACAAAAGATTTAATATTTTCAAAAGTTTCCATGTAGCTTAGAAACTCAAACTGCAGTGACCTGTGTTGGATTTAGGGCCCTCAGTCACATGAGCTTTTCTCAATGTTACTCTCCTTTAGTGAATTACCAGCTATGTAGAACTCTGTATGTAACTTCAAAGTGATTCCTATAATGTCTGTATATTATAACATAGAATAACATTTTATGGCAATGCATTCTTCCTCAGAGTACAGATTCGTTTAGACCTGGTCTTTTGCACCAGGGAGGCTTTCCTAGGGTGCTTGCTGGGCCAGCAGTAGCCACTGTAGTTTTAAAGACCAGGCATATTAAGTCTAAAACTTTGCACCTGATGTTTCTCCATGTTTGTAGCCTAGCCTACAAACTTACAGCTACAAGATCATACTCAGTAGGTCTGCTCACCTTGTTTTACAGAATAACCAACCATGACTACAGAGTCAGGATCGGACTCCGAGTCCAAGGATAAAGAGCAGGATCAGCAGGAGAGCCCTGCACAGCAAGGGGTGGCAGAGACCCAGCCTCAGGACCAGCAGCAGCTGAGCGAGGACCATCAAAACGTGCTCGAGCAGTTCTCGGCTGTGGCAGCCCACAGCACGCCGGTGAAAAAGGAGCAGGTAAGGGAGCCCACGCATGCATGCTTGCTGCACGTAGCTAGCTACATGCCTGCTCATTACTCCTGGGAAATAATGAGCCTGGTGTGTTAGAAGTGGAAATATACATTCAGATATGCATGGAAGTCTTTTTGGTGTGATGCTGTAGGTCTTGATTGGTTAGTCTTTTGCATTTAAAAAATAATAGTTCTCACGCAGAATGTTTTGAAATTCATGCCCTGCTCTGTTGTTTCAGTGTCAAATGCTGTTCAGCCACCTGCCACATCTGATGCAAACATAGTACCAGTATTTTACAGAAAAGCCGTTCTTAAAACCAGATACTGCTAGTTCATTTCTTCCTCCAGTGCTTAAATATAAGGGCAGTCTTACTAACTAAACAGGAAACATCTTCGATCTTGCATTTGCATTAGATAGCAAGCAGTGCCAATTCTTAAGAAGCTGAAAATATTTTCAGAGTTCATTTCTTCTTTGACACCTGCCGAAAACTGATTTCATGCTTGCTGTTCTGATATGTGAGCCATGAAGAATCTGTGGTCTCTTAAGCTTCTCGTAGTTCTGAAATGACTGCATTATAATTACTTTAACTTTTAATGTAATAGGTTTCAGAAGAACTATCACATACTTTTATATTTGGTTCATTGTTGCACTTATTAAATTTGTGGAAGCTGCTTTCTTTTTCCTGTTAATGATTTCCAGTCAATAGGATTAACAGGCATTGTTCTTCATGGGTAAGTGACACACAATGACATACCTGCAAATCACATCCCTCAGCTCTGTGAGGTTATGACCTTCATCTGATTGCATTCACCTTTGAAGAGTGGAATAAGTCAGTCTAACTCTTCCTCTTCTTCATCCTTTTAAAAATTCAGGTTGTTTGAAGTAGGGTCCTGTTATCTTACCAAGTTGGGAGATAGTGCTACTGAAGCAAGCAGATGCAAGGTGTTACTTAGAATCAGCATGAGTGCTCCTGCAGAAGCTCTTTGGAGCTGGCTGTGGTCTTGTGTTTTAAGCTTTTGTCCACAGAGCTACAGCCCAAACCTGCTGTTGGTACGGAAAAAATGGGGGTGTAAGCAATTTCAGATACAAAGTATTTTTGTATCTCCCTCGTTTATGGGGCCATTACCTGAATGCTTGGGTCAACAAATGTTTCTGGGACCAAATTAAAAGAGGTGTCTGGGAGGGGTTGTAACTAGATGATCTTTAAGGTCCCTTCCAACCCTAACCATCCTATGATTCTACGTCTAACTTCTAATACTTCAAGAGGTAGACATGGCAGGGCAGGATTTCTGGTGTTTATTACTATTGAATATCAACCATTGGAAGAACTGCTTACTTTTCTGTCTTTGCTAGCCATTTTTACCATTGATAACCATTGATCAGCCTCACTCCATGCCCACCAAAGACCTCTCTGCTCTTGCTCCAACATCCACTGCTTATGTGTCGAGACAATTTTGGTCTCTGAAATAGATCAGAAATTCCATGTAGTTAGTTTGGGGAAAAAAGGCAAAAGAGAAGGGTGCTGCACAAACTAATCATTAATTTAAAATGCAATTATATCAGGCCCAGGCATAAGTATTATTAATTTTTTTTCTAGACATCTTCAGTAATCTTTCTGCCCCAAGTTTCATTTCATCTTAAAAAAAACCAAAGCAAAACAGACCACAAAATAACCGACCTCCCCCCCCCCCAAAAAAAAAAAACTAAAAAAAAAAACAACAAACCAAAACTTTAGGTGCCAAACCTGTCCATCTGTGTTTACAGAGGTGTGAGTTTGGAGACCTGAGATGCTCTCATGTGCTGTGTGTCATTTCTTTTCCCAAAGAAGATGACCTGTGAGCCAATGTCTGTAGAAGCCTTGATAGAAGTGGGTTAGTGAAGGGATATGTGAGACCTTCCCATTGAGATGACCAGATTGAATCCAAAAGTCCGTTTTGTAAGCTGACTGCCAAATCCAGCTGCAGTGATCTGCCCAGTGTATTTCACAGTGGGTTAAATGTCTGTGTCACAGGAAAGAGCCACTTAAACTCAGCACTAAGAGACAGAGCTATTGACAATGCTGTCATTAAAAAAGCCAAAAACTGAAAGAGTAATGGGCATCATTCTCTCACTTGCTGTAATCACAGTGAGGAAGTTGATGATTTTTGCTATCCATCATATGAGAGAACCTTAGGAGGAAAGATTTAAGTTACCAGTCCATGACAGTGACTTTTTGTTATCATTCTATACATATAAAAAGAACATTTTAATGACGACAAAAAGGCTTCTTCATGTTGAGATTAGCAGTTACTACAGAAATGAGTCCTTTCTATCAGGTTTAATAGTGCAATCTTGCTATCTTCCTGTCTTCTTGTCTCATTGAAAATGAGCAAGAAGATGTCTTGTGTGTTGAGCACTGACATTTCCAAGCAACTGATCATAAGTAGACGGGATTTTTGCATTGTGCAAGCTCGGTAATACCACTTCATACCCCAGTGAGAAGCTGTGAAGTGTTTACTGCTGAATCCTGTGACTCCAAAGGCTTGCTTTGAGAGAGGGGTCCAGCTTCAGAAGAGGTTGAACATACTGTGTCATAGTAAGGTACAGTAATATAGATAGAGATGACAGAGCTTATGCTCAAAAAAGGCAAACTCTGAAGCAACTTGTGCTACATTAGAATTTAGTCCACGACACTGAAAATACTCCAAAAATTCAGCACAGAGGTACCTTGGGGAAGAATTCAGGAGAAAATGCAGCTATGCTTGCAGACTTAAGAATGATTCCCTGAATACATGGGTTTTTCACTGGCTGCTTTTTTTTTCCCTAGATACCAGGATGTCATGTTTCTTTAGGAAGAAAAGGCTTAATACAGTCTGAAAGTACCTCAATGCCTGAACATGTCAGCATAGTTTGGGGGATCTTCTCTAATAGTTCTTGGCATGTTTTGTTCTCTAGACAAATGAGAGAAAATCCTTTGTATGATTTTAACCTAGAAACATTCCCCTGATCTTAATGTAGACAGGAACCTTAACAAACAAAATAAGCTCAATACCATTAAAAAAAAGTATTTATAAATAAGTAAATTTCTGCTGTAGTCTTGAGTTGCCAAGTGTCTTTGTGTGAGGGGAAATAATCACCAATCCATAAGGATTCATAGAATTTGTTTGTGGGCTGAAGATGTTTTTAAAATGTAAATGGCTGCTGGGTGCACTTGTTAGCTTTTCTCTCGAACAGCTTTCTTGTTTTCTTTAAAAAGATTATTTCCATGCATCTGGTTTTTTTGTTGGTTGTTTCTTGTTGGGGTGGCATATCTAATGAACCACTGGCAATGACAGTATATTTCTACCACATTTGCCACCTATACGTGTTCATGTGCACCTTCCATGGCAGATTTCTTTTACAAAACATATGGAAATCATCAAAGAGCCCCCTTGGCCATCATCAGCAGCACAGCTGTCCACAGAGGCCTTAGGAGGAGACATCTTCAGTCTTGTTTTTCCCTCGGTGCGATGAGTTGGACCACTTACCAGCTGGCCACAGTTGTGGCAGAGGAGTAGCTGGCCTCGAGCCTTGCTCTGAGCCTGGGGGGACTCTCTTCCTTCATCACGGCCGCTGTGAGTGTTAAATGCTCAGTGAACGGCTAATCTGCTGACATGCATTGTGCCCTTCATCTCCTGCCAGCCTTCAAGGTACGCGAGGACCTTCATGTCCAGACACAGAGCTGGTGTCCAGGTGCTGGAAGGAGAAAGTCCTCCCGCACTGGAGCTAGATAGGGGAAGAGCTGGCTGGCGTTGGGCTCCTTCAAGGGAAGAACATGTGCGGTTCAAGGGTTGATGTGGATTTTGAAAGCAGCTCTGGCTTTTTTATCTTTCTAGCCCCATTTTCCTCTAGTCTCCCCACCTAGAGAAGCCCCAGCAGACCACTGCTATGTCCTCTTGCAGGGAAAGGAGGAGTGTGGGGTCTTGCCTTGCCTCTTTGGGGTTGCCTCTTTGCAGTTTGCTGGGGCTTTGGTGGGAGCCGGCGCTGTCAGTAGTACAGCCAACTCCAAATT